GGTGCGTTTCTATAAGTCTTCCTACCATTATGACCAAGTTGCGAAAACAAGGTCAAACAACTTCTAAACAGAGAATAAGTTATACAAAAAAGCTATAAAGATACATGGTAAGAAATTAAGAAATTTGGGTATAAGAATTAGCTCTTAAAGCCATCAGTTTTTAATAAAGTAAAATGGAGGAAAATTCGTTCCAAAGTGATTAATCTGTTCGAAACCCCATCTGGCATTTCTAATGAGGAGGTTTTACCAAAGTGCTTGAACCTTGCTTTTCCAAATGGTAAGGACTTCAGGAAGTAATGGTTTGTAGAACTGATAAATTTGATAGATAGTTTACAGAGGATACTAGGGGTGGCATTGAATTACAAGTTGTCCCTTTAATTGATGGCCATATAGAAGCACCATACATGAATTAATATAGTTAAAGTAAATATCTGAAACTTGGAAATTTTCGCTACTGGCGTACCTTTCATTTCATTTGAGAAGGCGGGTCGAAGGGATCCGTAGATTTGCCTCACTGGATACCTCAGGATGTCCGATGCCGACAAAACGTTTGGGAATGTACCCAGCCACTAGTCCAATGCTGGAAATTACGAATACTATAGCAGAGGACACGGGGCTAGGTAAGTTCTACAAGGTCTCCTTGGCGCTCCAACCAAGTTGTAAAAAAAAGTTCGAGCCAACACTATCCATCCATATGTTTGGCAGATTGGGATTTAACAACTTTGGCCGTACCATTATATTAAATGCTATATTTCATAGTTATTTCAATCAAAACAGACTTCTTTTCCTATATTTGCAAATTTAAGGTCTAGGATATACTGGGGATTCTAAGTATTACTCAATAGGAAGTAGTACCTTGGCTTGTTTTATGTTGACGAGATGAAAGGTGCACGTTTTTCCAACCATCTTGATTTCTTGACAGCTCGCATACTTCTCCAGATATCTACAGGGCTCTCCGACTCTGGCCATCGCCCGGAACTTGACCTTACCTCCAGCTCCGATAGTCCTAAGGAGATGCAAAATCATATGGCCATAGGATTTTCCGTTCTGTTGGTCGTGGTGGTTGCCTGTCTGATTGGCGGCGGAATTTCCTTTGCTCTGCATCGAAACTATCAAAATCGACTGGTTGGTAATAACCCTCGTCGATCGTCAAGCCTTTCTCTCAGTTATGGAAATCATGTCAACGCTTCTTACTATCCGTTCAAATTCGAGCCTGTTGACGGCATGCTATCTCGGGATACCCGATTCAATTACTTCAGTATCGGCAATGATGCCCACAGCATGAATATAACCAACGCCTATCACAAGGTCTCATTTTCCGACGAATCGCCTACTGATACTCGATGGCTTATAACTGAGATTGCCAACGGTGACCGACAGCATTGGAACACTCACAACTTCATCAATTATAACAACCGGCATTTGGAACCCGAATCTCGGCTCGCTAGCCTCTGCGCTCCGCACTCCTTGGATAGCCAATTGCAGCTGATGCCATTGCTGACAGTCGCGATGCCCACCTCAGACGTCTTAAATACAACCAACACAGGGGCTCTTGACAAAGAAGAAATAGCCGTCATGACTACGCCAGAACTGAAAAGGAGACCATTGGTCGAAGAGGAGTCTAGCTGGGCACTTGCACGCAGCCATGACAATTTAGTTTTATCAGGACAAGATGAAGAAAAGACTACTGACTTGGAACAACAGAATAGTGCACCTAAGTTCTATTTAAAGTCTGATTCGCCTGGGAATCCGATTTCCATCATGCCTGAGCCCTCACGTAAATCCTAAAGAGCTTAAATTTTGCTTTGCTAACACTTCATTTATCCAGCTAACTTTCGCTTTTTTTCTTATCATTGTATTTTTTATTTTTTGTTAATAACTTTGAGTTTAGTATTTCAACTCTAAAAACGCACTCAATGATCTTATATCTAGACTTTGGATTCCTTCAGCTCTGGAAGATCTGTTATTTAGCTACTCTTATCACTAGGATCGCTAGAATCGAGGGGAAAAAACTATTTCTCTAATAAAAATGCAAATAAGTAGATAAACTGAAATTTCGAGTGACTTTCTGCTGTTGTGTTTGCAGATTGGCAAGGAAGATTCGATTTCATGCGTATAAAAGTCGTTTTTCCTCCCAGTTTCATCGTCGTTGTCATCACAAGGATAGTCTTCATAATCGTTCAGACATCTCCACCTTTTATTATTTTTGATTGATTGGAGTGGCAATAAGTAAAGTTTGTACTAAGAGTTTTCCAGCTCATAAAGTGAAAATACTCTACCCGTGCTAGGTAAGTTACTCGATAGAGTGAGTCCGCATAGAGATTGATCGCTAAGCTCTACTTATGAAGATGAACTAATCGAAGTTCATGAAACTGACTAATGTGATGAGGACAGCTGAGTTTGAGAGCAGTACCCACTGGGGTCTAATGTGAATGTAGCGCGATGTTAAACGGGAGATGAATGCAATTCACCCAAAATAAGAATATAATAGAAGTGGGTTGACCTCGTCATCGCCAAGTCCATGGTCATATGCGGGAAATTGTGATAACTACTACGGCAGAGGACTTCGGGTAAGGTTCTTTCAACTAACTCGCCCTTTCAACAAGACCAAGTTGCGACAAAGAGGTCAACCCACTCCTATAAATCGAACGCTGTTTGCGATCATAACAAGGGCTCTTCATATCTTCAGAGAGTATAATAGTTTTTATCAGCTTAGTGCCGTCACTGGTTTAAGTTATGTTGAAAATTTAACCAATATCAAGGCTTACAAGGCTACTTACTTCAATCGACTCGAAAACTAATCACTTGTTCACTAATTCTGCACTGTCAACCTTATTGATGAATATAAATTATCCTTGTCGATACCTAGTACTAATGCAAATTCAAAAAAAGTCTACTTCGATTTTAAATTCACGGATCAATAATATGTTACTGAACGTCAGAATATTGGTATAATGTAACCATCACCAGATGAAGATATCTTTTGTTAAGCTACGTAACTGAAATTGGTTGGCAATGTGGAGTTTTCTCCTTAATATATATCTAAGGCTACTAATTGTGACCCATGTTTTAAGTGAGATTTGAATTTTACTTGATGTTTTAATAATTATTCCATGTATTATGTGTGACCTTGTTTCCTTATCTAAAATATGTTTACAGTAAATTCTATGGATGAGATAATTTCTGTCCCCATTACCATCCTATCCTTCTGACATTAGAAGTTATACCCATAGCTGAATAGCAATAGCATGATCGCATCTCTTTTATCAGCCTATGGACGATAGTTATGTTTCACATGTATTTAGCTGTATTGGTTGACAAAAATTATAGCAAATTCAATGTTTGGTTCGTCTCTTTTTTTCGTTATCCTCAGCTATAGTAATTTTTATTTTTAGCTCAATTTATCTTATTTGCCACATTCACTTGAAAATAGGTGAGAGCCTCTTTTTATTTCTTTCCTTTTCTGCATTCGGTATCGGCTTTTTAAGGCTTCTTTTTCATGCTTTACTGGATTACTTTAATCCATTTGCACCATTGACTGCTTAGCTGAGTTGTAATGTGTCGTAACGATGCACAAGACCATGCTTCGAATCCTGCTAGGAGTATTGATAAGACCTTGGCGAGGTTGAAACTTCATTTAATCTTACTGATAAGACATTTTAAGCAAAGCTAAATGAAATTTAGTCGTCTCGTGAGGCTTGTTTATTTCTCTGTGGAAAAAATAACACAGCCCTTAGATCGCTTTAAGTGATCTATGGTGACCAAGTTTTTGTTGCTGGCATTTCTCTATCAATCTTTATTTTTCTAGATTTTTTTTAGCCACAATGCTTTGAATTTTTTATCAACACTTCAGATTTATTTGTCTTAGAAACCCAGTTCTTTTCATATATACAAGCTATGCTATTTTTCATACGTAGGTTAATTATTTTAGTAGTCTCATAAATTACGTTTTGCTTGAAATCCTTATGTTCTTAAGCGTATACTCGGAAGCAATACCATAGATTCACTTCCCAATGACGATATTGGTTTGTATTTACTACTTTTGTGAGGGATCTATTTATTCTTTAGAGAGCGCCTTTTTTAGCAATATCTTAAAGGGATAAGCAAATTAATTATTAGTTATTTTTATGCTTTGTTGCTTCTAATTAACTTTAATCTACCTCTCTTATGTGATCCACGTCCTCTCAAATAAGATATAATTGATAATTATTTTTTGGAACGATTTTTGTTACCTTGTCTATTCTCAGAATTGTTGATCCATCAATCATGCTCTTGCACAATCCGCTTCTATACCAATAAATATTAAATATTTTAAATTCTAGTATAATTTCTGATTTTGATGTCTTCCCTGATAAGTTGTTATAAGTAAATACTTGACACGCATATCTACATCCTGAAATGACAGTCTTTAGTTCTACACCTATAAATTTGCATCCATCCGACTTACGGATCTTGTCATATTGCATAGCACAAAATATCACAAGTTTTCGGGCATCGCAAAGTCATTCTCAGCTAAATTAGTTACGCTTTAGATACTTCGAGCTTATATGAGCTTGGAGAAGTAAGACTTGCTAAATGCAGCTCTGGAAGTTAATGGTGGTAAAGTAAATGGTTCTTATCGTTAGATTTATAAACCGTTTCAATTACCTCTAAATATGATATCATTCCATCATTTCTTTGCGTTCCAATATCTTAA